ACCTAATTGATTTCTGACATTTCACTAATAAAGTTAACTAAAACTAATTATACATATTGAAAAAAAGTTTCCTGCAAAATGAATTTTTCTATTTAGCTTAAGGGTTCTTAATTGTTAGACTGAATTGCTGAGGCAGATTGCAGAATTACTTTCTCTTGGGATATTTATATATGTATTTCTTTTTTTCTAGCCAGTATGGATTGATGAATGATGACATCACAGAAACTAAAAAAGAAATAAATTGATTAAATGTGAAAGTTAAAGATGTTGAAGCATCCTCCTAAGAAGATAAAATCACAAACTAGGTTACATAGATATCTTTTTTTAAAGATGTTAAATTAGGTCTGTTAAATTTGCCACTTTATCTTAAGGAATCTAAAATAAATTAAACATTTCAGATATATTCATATTTTTTCTTTTATTCATAGCGTAGATTTTCCTTCACTTAATCAGTGTGTATTGTATTTCCCAGTCTTTAATTCAGAAGGTAGGTTTGTCTAATTCATCCATCTAATTAAATCTAAATTCTTGCAGAAGTCCAGGGGGAGCCTCCTATTACTTCGATTGCCCCAAACCCAGCTGATGCCTTGTGAGCCAGTACCTCTCACACGACCATTTCCAATGTTCCCTATTTGTTCAGATAAACATGCAGTATGTAAAATGAAGACTAGCATTCATGAATGGTTTAGGATTGGATAATATATGGCTGGCCCATTACTGTTACATAAGAATCTTATATATCACATGAAAAGCTGTTACTATTAATGATGCAAATTTGCATTGCTTTCACTTTGCCAAAGCAGGTTGGATTTCTTGCTTTGCTTGTTAAAGAAGACACTCAGTTGTTCTGTCCACCCTCAAGCTGTGTACACTGACTGCACTGGAGGGAGCAGGAGGTGGCAGAAGGCTCATCTAGTTTGTCCTCTTCAACCTAGGAGCATCACTGAGAAACCAAAGTTCAGGATCTAAGTCAAAAGGCAGCTTTTACACCTTGCCTGGTTCTATCTACAGTGGCTGTTTGTTTTTACGGTGCCCATCTTGTGTGCACTAGTATTTTGGCCTTGCCTTGATGAGAGTGGGTTTTGGGCTTGCAGGATCACATGGTTCCTGCTGTCTCAGGGCTCTCTGGGTGAGTCTAGCATTTGTTTAAATTCTGGAAAGGCATCAAAGGCCTAGCTCCAGATAAATGGTTGCCTTCTGCCAGGTCTGCACTGTATTACTACATTTCTGAGACATCCTAGACCTTTCTGGAATTTTAAAAAATGACTCCTATGCATCTAAATTTTCTCAAGTCTTAAAATAAACGACTAACTAGTTGAAGGGAGAAGTTGACACCACTCTCGGTGCTGGCTAAAAGTTCTTCCTGCCAGTAACATGGAGCCTCTAAATGCAGACGTTAATTCTCTGAGCTCTTTTAATTGTTAAAAATATTAATAGTAATCCAATTCAAATTAGAATTTCCTATATAGTCAGTTACGTGCTAAGCATATCTAGCTGCACTATTTAAGCCAAGGAACAATGTTACTATAGATAAACTGTGTGAATAGTAGGTTATTTGGAGTAAACCTGTTTACCTTATAAAGCAAACTTTATTTTTGCTTATTAAAAAACAACAACAACACACACACGCACAAACACACACAAATAGCTAACATTTACTTTGTCTTTCTTCATCTTTTTTTCATTGGTGAGATTCTGGGATTCATATTTAAAAATTCCAAACTGGGTCCAAACTTCCATTATTTGCGCTTTCATTGAAAAATGATACTATTGAATGTGTAAGGAGAACACTGACAGCATATTTATATCCCTTTCTCACAGCTAGTTTTATAGCTGTTTCAAATCTTTGATGCTTCGATGACTCAAAGACAAATTTGTTTTTAATGTTTTGCCACGTGTAACACATAACCATTAGTCCAGGAACAAATGTAACTGAACTGCTAGGTGTAAGTGACTGGACAGTAATCGAGACTGACCTTTTATTAGTGGTATCATATTATTGAAAAACAGTGGCTAAGAACTTTAAGAATATACAATAACAAAGAGTGATAATATTAATTAGAAATAAAAACAAAGTACTGTTGTCTGTGATATACGTAATTTAAATAAAAATAGAGACTTCTAATATGTACATTTCTATAAAAAAAGAAAAAAAAGTACAGTGGCTAAGAACTTTAAGAATATACAATAACAAAGAGTGATAATATTAATTAGAAATAAAAACAAAGTACTGTTGTCTGTGATATATGTAATTTAAATAAAAATAGAGACTTCTAATATGTACATTTCTATAAAAAAAGAAAAAAAAGTGTTCTAGTATTTATTTGGTTGCGCTTTCCAATTGCTTAAAAAATACAAGTAGGCTTTGGTTGTTAATACAATTGAGACATATCTATCGTAGGAAAACTAAAACCATATAGAAGTTAAAGAGTAAAGGAGAAAATACTGGCCTTTAAAAATGATCAGATATCTTTTCTAGTTTTCCTTACTTGGAGATGTCAGTGATATGGGTAAAGAAGCCAACAGTCATACATTTTAATTCTTAGCTTGATGTAAGAATTATACCTCTTTTCACAATTTTTAAGAAATCAAGACCCTCAATCTTTAAAAGAATATGTAAAATACTTAATCCCATATATGTTAGTTTGCAGACAAAAAGGCAAAAGAAAAAGGTGTCTGTGAAAGCTATACACCAGATAATCTAACAATGAGAAAATTGGAATTTCAAAAATATTTAAAATTTTCCACATAAAGTTTAAAAGAGCATAAAACTTTCTTACCAAGAGGCAAGGAAAGTCCACTGCATTCTTAACAAATTTGTTTGTGGCAGTACTGTCCAACAGAACTTTCTATGATGATAAAAATATACTATTCTATGCTGTCAATTAACCACGTGTGTCTACTGAGAACCTGAGAGGTGGCCAGTGCAACTGACGGAATGAATTTTTAATTTAGTTGTAATTAGTTTATATTAGAATGAAAATGGCTACCATACTAGATGATGAAGGTCTATAGATTTTAAGCCATTGAATATGGTTCTTTATTTATTCTTTTAAATGTGCTAATCAGGCTTTCCACATTTGTAGATTTCAACATAAATTCTTTGGTCCTTTAAAACAAGTTCTGAAATGCTGTTTACACATCACTGGTTTAAATCAATAAGAGATCAGAGTTCTGTCGTTGTACGTTGGTAATAGTTTTAAAGAGATATTACAGAGTTCAGAAGGTCCTTATGCAAATACTTTTTATATTTCAGTGTAGAGCTCACAGATTAGGATAGGGCCCTGGAGATTATTTTACAGCGAACTGAGGGCAAAATTGCTAGTTAGTGGTAGAATTGGTATAGCATCAATTCTTTAACAAACAAAAAATAGAGTTAAGTATGTTTTGCTTATAAGTATATTTGCTTATTAAAGGTATGAAAAAGTTAAAAATTTCACAGAATCTTTTCTTCAGCAAGTGTTTTTGTTATTTTTAATAATATAACATAAAGTAAAATAATGTTTTGTTATTCTTAAACAAAATGTCATACTCATATTTACTTTGGAAGTTTTGCTACAAATGTGTGAATGTTAGAAACCAAAGGCTTCCGAAATACAGGAGAAGGAAGCCTGGCTCAAGAATTACTTCCAGCAGGAACTCCCCGGATTAACTGTCCTGCTTCTCCCACTGTAGGACTGATGGGGTCTCACGGACAAAGAGCTCCTTCTGTTCAGTGCTCTTAGGACGTAAAATAAAGCGTCCTGTCTTTGTGTCTTCCTAACTAGGACGTGTGTTTTAATACATTGTTCCCAGAGCTGGATTTTTGCTGAAAACATGCACAACCCAGATTTCCACGTTTAACTATACCTCAAAACAAAACAAAAAACAAAAACAGAAAAACCCTCTGAAGATATCCAGTGACAGAACTCTGTAGAATGTTACTATTTTTATCACCAAGATTAAAGCAATCCTAAATAGCTTTCCAACACCACCACTGGAGTGCCTTCCAGAAAGTGGTTCCAATTTGCTAATCTAACAGAGAAGAATAAAGTCATCCTCTAGTATTTATCTACCCGCCTGGCGCCCACCTATCCTACTCATCCTCTACTTGGATAAAATGGAATCACAACATATTCAGAACGGAACAAGCTACTCTTTTCACTTTTCCTGTAGGAACGAGGGAAGCTGAGGGCTTGTTCTTTGGGATGATTTTCTGTTAGAAGAAAAAAAAGTCCTACTAGTTGGGTAAATCCAGGACTCTTTTTACGAAAAATACCACACGGGCCCATGTGACAGGAGTTGGACAGACGAAGCAGTCCTGGCTAACCCCGCTGCCCTGCACACCAGGTTCTGAGAGTTTAGTGTCCCACTGTGTGACTCCGAATGACTCATGCTTATCAGGGGGCTAGACGGCATGGGGCATAGAGGAGACCTCCATCTCCACTTTCACTTTGCCCTTTTTCCTGTGTCTTATCACTGGGGTAGGGGAGAAGTTTGTAAGAACAAGAATCTGAGACATTTGCGTTTTCTGAAGGAGAGCAGGTTAAGTTTTAAGCTTTTATGGTCTTTAGACTTCTGGAAATCAGTGCTGGGGAATCACAAAGCCCCAACCTCCCACTAGGTGGCTGATGAGAGAGCACATTCCTTTCCTTCCTGGTCGTCCCAAGTCCTATAGAGCCAAGGAGGACACTGCTCAGAACAATCACTGATGGCCACGAGGGGTGCTTGCCAAGGGGATGCAAATCTCTCACATGGTTTATCATCAGTACAGAAGTGGAAATAGCTTGATGATTCCGATGCTGTTTACATTTAAAGTCATATAAAGATCTATGCTCTTAATCTGTATATTGGAGGGGATGGAGTAAGACTGGGATTTCATTCTTTTTAGCTTCTTCTACGTCTTTCACAGGACAATGGTGTGTGTGGCTTGGTGTGTGTGGCTTCTTGTGCTACCATCACTGTTGACACATTAGAAAAAGCAACTGACAGTTACAATGCTGTAGATGTAAGACATTTACCTGGTGCAGACTTTCTGAGATGGCTTCAGTGACTTTACTCAGAAAAAAACTCAGCCATTTTAGACCAATTTGTCATATATCAAATCTGGAAAGAAAAAAAAGATTAAAATGATTCACTGAATACAGTCAGATTTGTATTTTTTTAATTTAGAGAGTAAGCATTAACACTGCATCTTAAGAATGTTTTTGAAGGGAATGAAACCATCTGGTCCACATCGAGAACATATTTTTCCTTATATAGAGTTAGGTTGTACTAAGTGGCTGTCATGGGATTTCACCCTCTTCCTGCTTATGGTCTTCCCCAACCCTTGTAGATACAAACTAGAGAAAGAGGAAAAAAAAAAATGTTTCTGTAGACATGGCTGTTAAATATCAGAAACATTATAATGGAATGGAATTTTACTTGTGAATTTACAGCAAAACTTCACTAAGTGATTCTATTTTCTTTTTAGTATAAAGCTATACAAATATTATTGTACCACAAGTTAAAAATACCTTTTAAAAAGATTATTTTTTGTTTTTCTTTTTTCAAAGGAGTAATACCTGAATGTAGTATAAATGTCAAGTTACAGAAGACTATAAAGTAAAAGTAAACATCTCCTCACCTTCTCTAATCTCTGTTGATCCACTTCCCAGAGATACTTAATAGTTGCTTATGTATTCTTCTAGGACTTTTAAAAATGCATATGTGCATATATAAATGCATATATTCATATTTTTTCTTTTTACACAATATTCTGCTTTTTGCTTTTATTTATTTGTTTATCTTATTTGATAGTATGGCTAGCAGAACTTCCTGCATTAGCATATACACATCTATGCCTCATTCATTTTGATGACTATACAATAGTCCATTCATTGCACTGGTATATGATAATTTATTTATTTAACCAGTCTGTTATAAATAGGTCTCAGTTGTTTTTTTTTTCTGTTTCCCTTTTGGCTGCTAATAAAATGTTTCATTGGTCATATTTATACATAAACATTTTTGTCCTTATGTGAATATATCAATAGGATAAGTTCCAAATGGAACTGTTGAACCAAATGGTTTGTATACTCTAGGTTTTTGATAGATATTTACAAAATGGTCTTTATAAAGTTTATACTGATTTATGACACCAAACATAAAATATCAAATATTTTCATCAAAATGTTTTTTCTTAATCTGATAAGGGAAAAGGTATATTTTAATTCTGATCTGCATTTCTTTAATTATGAATGAGCTTCTCTGCATTTTCTTATTATTTTTCTTTGGTTATTCTCCTACTAGTTTGCCCAGCCATGGCCCTCACTTTTTTAACTGGGTTGTTCATTGTTTCTCATATTAAAGAGCTTATATTATGTTAAAGAATCTGGCATTTTACACGTAATGTGTGATAAATAGTTTTCTCAGGTTTCTTGCTTATCTTTTGACTTTGTTTATGGTGTTTTTTTACTGTGCAACCATTTAATTATTTTTTATACAGCCAAATTCATCAATATTTTAATTATGGACTTGAAGAAACTTTTAAATATATATTTTTTAAGTTTAAGAGTTATTCAAGAAGATTGTATATAGTAGCATTATTATATAGAAGAATTTTGGCATTAGAAGTATCTATTAGCAAAATAAACTTCCCATATAATTATTTCTCTTATAAAATACCAAGACAGTGTGAATTCTGTGGATTCTGTTATAAGGTTCTAGTGTACCTTACAAAAAAAGTGTTTGTCAGATTTATAGTATCATTCTCTACAGAATTAATTATGGTTGTCTAAGACCTGAAATCCAGAATGAGTTATAAGGAAAGTAATAGAAATTTCAAGACAAATAGAAAGTAAGAAGTATACAAGTTATAGAGATTCATTACAGAAAAATTTGAAAGCACAAAAAAACAAAAATGAGAAAATATGAAAAAGACTCCCTGATTTTTTTTTTTTTTTTTGTCTTTTTTCGTGTCCGGCAACGGATTGCAACCCTCAGTGTCGTGCCCGTACCGGACCGGGACCGGCAACGGGATCGCAACCCTCGGTGTTGCACCCGCACCTCGCTCAGCCAGTGAGCGGGAACCGGTCTGTATGTGGGATCCAAACCCTCGGCGGGAGCACCACCGCACTCTCAAGCTGCGCACTGTAGCAGTGCACCACCGGGCCGGCCCAAGACTCCCTGATTTTAATAACCCTCAAAAGCTTTCAATATTGGTTGTATAATTTTCTGTCTTTTCTATCTGCTCCACAGATACGAAAGCATTTAAAAAATGCATGTGATGTTACTCATAAATTAGTGCTAATATAACTAAATTACTTTCATTACACCACCAATAACCCAAGTAAGACCTTAATAGCACCTTGACAAGAATCTACCAAACACACACACACAAGATCACACTTATGATTCATGTTTTATACATTGCTTTTTTCACTTATGATTATCTTTCCATCCCATTAAATTTTTTAAATATGTAAAATATATACTATACATTGTGTTACATATTTATCTGAACTATATAATGACCGTATAATTTTCTACCATATGGCTGAACTTAACGGGAATTTAAAACAATAGGAATAGATGTGTCCCTCCCAAATTTTTTCTGGTAACTCAGTAGATCAAAGGCCAGGACATATTCAAGAAATCATTATGTAGGAATCACATCAAAATTCTTTTCCTTTCCTGATAAAGTGACAGCAATTAACTGTGTGAAGGGTAAGGGCTGGGAGACATCATGGTACAATGTGTTTTATGTGACATGACATCATTTGAACAGAAATAGAGTTAGGTTATTAGAGCTGGGTTAATGGAGCATTCTTGTTCTAGGGGCATACCACACAGATTTAGAAGCATTTCAAATGCATTTGAATTGGATAACAAGAAGAGTTTGAGTCAAAAAGTGAAGAAAAGTGTATGTGATGATAAAATTGTAAATTTATAAAGTTTACTGAAAGAAATGCTGTCAGACTTTTTCAATGTATTTAGACAAAAACCTGGTGCAGATTATATTCAGCCATAGTCACAAATATTTGGACTTAGTGAGACCAGTGGGACTCTAAAGGGTCCTAGGGGATGACCACTGGTACTTTATCCTTTATTAGCACTAAGAAATTCTGCCTGCTGTGTGTAGGATATCTGCTGGGTACCACTTCCCCTCCCCAGACCCCACCACTCAGCATGATGGCAGCCTTGGACTGATTTTGCCCTAATCCATTGTAACTTACAAATTAGATGCTGTTACTTTTAGTGCTGCCTGAATATCCAAAGTCCTATATTAAAGCAGCTGGTGAAATTCTGTCTTCCACAAATTTCCCAGTATCACTGAGAAAACTGTGGCTGCTCAGTCCTGTTGGCACACCTCTCCTCTCAAACATGATCACAGGGAATCCAGACTCACCTGCACCCCCCCTTTTTTTGGCAGCTGACTGGGATGGGGGCCCTAACCCTCAGCACCATGCTCTAACCAGCTGAGCTAACTGGCCGGCCCCTCAGCTGTCTTTTGATCAATGCCGATGAACCCCTGTCAAACAAGAGATATTTGGCCAGATCCAACTGACAATTGTCAGAGAATGTACATGCACTGGAAGAAATAGTTCAGGGGCTGAATCATTTGGGAAGTCACTGGCTTAAAATAAGTCACCACTTGCTTGGGGACTGACTGGTTAGTAACTAAGAGTATATTCGAATACAGTTTTGTAAACCATGCTTGTAGTCAGTGTTTATATTAAAAGCAGAAAAAGTGATATGTGGAGTTGGAATGTTGAACAGTTTATGCATTTGTGGAGAATGACTTGTTTAATTCAAGAGAGAACTTTCTTTATAGCATCAGAACACCAAAAGCAAACAGTGAATTTTAGATGTTATGGGGAAAAAAATAGAGATATCAAAAGTTAAGTTTTTAAAAGTGTGTTATCCACTCCTTTTAAAAACCTCTATTGAGGTATAATTGATTAAAAATCACACATATTAAATGTATACATTTTGATGAGTTTGGATGGGCTGTCATGGTTTTAGCATTTTTCCCCACTAAAGAAGGCATTTCTAGAATTCTTCACTCACTACTGCACTTAAAGATAAGATGACAGGCAAATGTTATAACTAAGATGAAATAGATCTTTTTTTTTCCATGAGAGAAAAAGGATTTGATTTCAAATTATAACTTCAAATAAGTTCTCAGATAATCAGTTTGCCTTAAAAAGTAGGCAGCCTAGTGTGAAGCAGACACTGTGGGCAGCAGCCAGGAGCACAGGCTTTGGAATCAGAATTCCTGTGTTTAAATCTCGACTCCATTAGTCACCACATTTGGGCGAGCTACTTGTCTCTTTACTGCTCAGTATTTCAATCTATAAAATGAGGATAAAGCAGTGGTTATCTGATAGGGTTGTTGTGAGAATTAACTAAAAAACATTTAAAGGCTGACCACTGTGTTTGGCACACTATATGTGTTCCAGTAATGTTAGCTTTATTAAAAATGTTAGTTTATTAAAAAGCCAAGAAAATAACCTCTACATAATCATTCTCAACAAGCCATAGGCACTGTATGTTGTGCTTCTGTACTTAAGTGTGCATTGGTTGAATCACCTGGGGATCTTGTTAAAATGCAGGTTCTTATGCAATAGGTCTGGATGGGGTCTGAGATTCTGCATTTCTAACAAACTCCCAGGTGATGGTCCCGATGCCAGTCTGTGGACTGTGATGCTTGAGGTAAAGGTGGATGGTTGCTCCTAATTTGTAATATAGTGAGTCTCAACGGAGGGAATAGGGACGGGGGCAGAAAGGAAGGTGCGGACGATATGCACAGATTTAATATGCTCCCTGGTGATTCTAACACTGTAGCCTTACCTACCCCCAACACCTTAAGAACCACAGATTTGCTACTTTAACCTTTTATTCCTTTTCATTTCCCTTTTCTTACTCTTTCCTCTACTTTCCCCTTGCCATTGCTGCTCTCTACTGAAAATGGTACTAATGCTTAGGTCCCCCATTAGCAAGACTAAAGCATCAACTTTAAGTCATTTTATTGTGAATAATAGGATAGTGTAAGTAAATGAGATTAGAAAAATGGGTTCTCTCTAACATTTCTCATCTGAAATATAGGGATCTAAAAATGTATTTAACATTTTTTATAGTTTTAGCCAAAACCAAACAAACAGGCAAGGAAGTGTCTTTTGTGAAACACTTAGTAACAGAACACAGGAGTGAATTGAATGTGGTTCGTACTATCAAAGGAGTTGTAATCCCATGGAGAGGGGAAAGGAGCAGCAGTTATTACAGAAGCGGCTGGAACCAAAGGACGTGACCACGTTAGACCTTCCACCTGTCTGAAAGGCAGGACAGAGGAGGAGCCACTTTTAAATGGCTTTCTGGGAGGGGAGGAGGAGAGGGGAAAGAGGAGGAGGAAAGAGGGAGGGGAAGGGGGAAGGGGAGAGACTGGATAAGGGGCATAAAGAATAAGTATGATTTGTAACAATGAATATGCTAATAAAAACTAAATCTATTCTTTTGAGAACAGAAAAACAATAATAAATAAATAAATAGATTGCTTTCCACCCCAGTGGCATTGAGACTATTAGAAACCCATAAGCATCTCTCTAGAGCAAAGACCATTTATTTTTTTTTTATTTTTTATTTTTTTTTTGTCTTTTGTCTTTTTTTTTTCCGTGTCCGGCAACGGATCGCAACCCTCAGTGTTGCCCCCGTACCGGACCAGGGACCAGCAACGGGATTGCAAACCTCGGTGTTGCTCCCGCACCTCGCTCAGCCAGTGAGCGGGAGCCGGTCTGTACTTGGGATCCGAACCCTCGGGCGGGAGCGCTGCCGCGCTTCCCAAGCGGCGCACTATCCAGTGCGCCACCGGGCCGGCCCAAGACCATTTAATATCGCTCAGATCCATAGTATTCCCTCTGCTACTGTTGTTGATACATTTTGTAGACATAATTCTTCATTTTCCAAAGAAGATAAAGAGGAGCTTTGATTATTATAAAATGAGAAAATATCTAGAGAAACTTAGAAAATTACCAATCATAAATTCTCTTAGCACAGAACCATATTTGTATTTTCTAATAGTCTTATTGTGTAGTTAACCATTCAGAGTACCTAAATCCATTCATCTAAGATTTTAACATTATTTGGTGAAGATCAAGGCATCTTATGTGTGTATAAAATGAATAAGCAATCACATAAATGTTGACCCAAACCAAAGGATTATTAATTCTATAATTAAAAAACTTAAGCATATCTAGAGTTAGAATTTGAAATAGGGAGGAACACTGCAGTTATGAGAAACAAAGCATACTCATTTTCCAAACTTTTAACTGCTAGAAAAGTAATTAAATGAGACTAGCAACAAACTGAAGATATTTTGGGTATGGGAAGGAAACTCTAACAATAACTGACATATTCTAGACATTTATTTCTCCTTAAGACATTTAGGTGATGCATCTACTGAGGAACCAAACAGATAAACCAAACAAAAACAAAAGCAAACTCTTCTAAATTAAGCTATAAGAATAATGTAAGATAAAGCAGTCATAGAGCATTTACACTATATAGTTAGTAAAATATTTTGAAAGATAATTTTGATTTTTACATGCAATTCCCCCCCTTCTGATGAACATCTGCTATAAAGGGAAAGAATCAAAATCAGATAGCAAATCTTTCAATGTTAATACAACCACAGCTAGTAGCAACGTTCGCTTGTCATTTCTATGACTGTTCTAAACATATACTTATTTTCTATTTCCAATTGTGAAATTTGTCATTAAAGTAACAACTAACTAATAAAATATCCAGCAAATTTATAGTTCTTTAGATTTTTTTTTCTGTGATTGAAACAGTATTTTAGAGCTTTAATATATTAATGGGAGTCACTTGCCAAATCAGTTAAATATCACCTTAAATCCCTATAGATACTCCTTGATTTAAGATGGCTTTATATATAAGCCATTAAAAAGTTGATTTTTAGTAGCTAAAATTCATATATAAATAAAACAAAAAATGTAAAGTGACAGCTAAATTGAGGATAGAAATTGAACCAAATTTGCTTATCAGAGAATTACTATTCTGTCTTAATAAGTACCTATGTGAAAAGAAACACAAACCATGTGATCCAATGACTTTAAGAAATTTTGAAAGAGAACACTTAGAACTATTTTGAAGAAAAGAAATTGTACTTTCCAATGGCAATGGGTTTAAAAGCTGATTTGGCCAGTTTACTAGATAACATGGGAGAAAAGTGTGCCTAACTTGGGCTTGGATGCTTCATCAGATTTTGAGGCTCCAGCTCCATATTTGTTTATTGCCACAGTGTGTCTTCAGGACATCTTTCTAATCTTTCAACAATTAGGCTTACTTCAAACTTGTAAACAAAATCCTTGACTTGCTAGCCAACTTTGGAAACTTTGGCATTCCCCCACTAAACATGGGGCAAAAGAACAGGAGCTTGCATTAGGTGGGCAAAACATGTAAATGTGACAGAACTCTATCTTTGTCCCTCCAACAAATTTGAAAAGCAAAATACAGCCACTCTCAGCTATGTGCTTGAAAGGGCACTGTGACAGCACAGATAAAAACTACAGGAGACAGGCAACACGCATTTAAACTATGAATTTCAAATTCCTTCTCAGCTAAGTATCTTACCTGGGATTTGGGTAGGTAGCAAATTAAACTTTTCTTTCCTTATTTTCCCTTGAAGCATTGGGAAAAATTAGTCATTACTATTAATTAGTCATAGTAACAACAACAACAACGATAAGTAGTAGCGGCAGCACGAAACAAAACAAAAACAAAACAAAATTATAAACACACATACACAATTCTGACCCCAAACAAAAAGTGAGAAACCTGAACAATCCACAAATTTGTCTTCTTTTTGAACACTGACCCAGGGTAAGAGAGAGAGGGGGAAGATTTAAGCTCAGAGTAATGTGGGACAGGGAGCACTGCTGTGGCGACAGTGACTGAAAGACATTTTGTGAATCTCGAGGAAGACAAGTCCATCGGCATCAGTGGAACCAGTTGAAGAAAACCAGTTTTCTTTTGAGTTGGATGATGGATCCGTTGATTCAGTTTAAGGTCAAAGAGCAGAACCAGAAATCAAGGCCTCATGTTGTGAACAAAGAAATCATGAAAGAAAAGGGGGAGACAGAGTAGATGACAGACATGAAACTAATCATCATGACAGTTGAGCAAATGTTGACACCTAGTAACTTGGGGTCTCTGAACCTTAAGCCAGGTGATAGAAACTGCCAACTATAAACTGGAGGATGGACGGTTGGAGCCATCACTGGGAAACTAGTTTGTTCAGAGCAGATGATTTAACAAGAGAGTTAGACAGTTTTGAAGACTCCGAACATCTGCTAACAGGGTAATAATTTGAGACAAAAGAAATCAAGGAATTTTATCACTGGAGGAGCCCTTATGGGCAGAGACCTGAGTTTCAGAGTAGTTGAATTCCTAATATCACACAGCTAGTTAATTGGGAGTCTCTGCTCCCATTTCTGTGTGCTTCCCTGTCCCTGCACTGTCTGCCAGGACATCACAAGGGGATTATCCACGTGGGGCGTTTACAGCTAGGGAAACACCAAAGGACACAAGGGAAGCAGGGCAGTTTCTCTTTTAGAGAAGACTTAGAAGGGGGTTAGAGTTTATGCTAAGAGGAATAAACGCCTGCGACCCTGGGCCTTCAGGTGTAAATACCAAGAGATTTATGTTGGGGGCCAAGTACCTGCAGAAAGAGACACAAGTTGCTCAACAAAGTTATAAAACAGAACAACAGAGTACCAGATTTCTTGACTCTCTCACTCTTCATTTCTCTTCCCAGAATGACACAGGAAATAAATGTAGCCAAGTCCTAAATGTGATCCAAGAAACGTTCACTGCGAAAAGAGGGCTCCTGGGGGCCGGGAATGGGTTTCTGATATGTAATGAGGCCATCAGCAAACAAAGATTAGGTAAAAAAAGAGATCCCAGATGGGTTCAGCAGCCAGGTCTCTGAGGGTTGCCCAAAGGCAATGGTGCAGGAGACACTGGGGAAGATTTGCTGAGGTCTTCTGGGGACCACAGCAGGCTGGCACTGCGGAGACACCCAGCTGGACATTTAAGAGAAACGGAGAATGGGGTGCCAGGTAGAGAAGTGGAGTGGAGGGCAGGAGCCTGCAAGGGGCTGTGCTCGGTCTCGAAGCAGAAGACCTGCTGAAATCCTGTCTCCGCTACACGCGTGCGCCCCGTGGCTGTGCGGACGCCGGGCTTCTCCCCTCCCCAGTTAGATGAACCAAAGGGCGGCTGGGGACACCTGAGGGTGGAGAATTTGGCCCAGGTGGGGCGGGGTCCGGTGCCGAGGACCCGCCGATATGGTCTCAGGGTGGGGGGAAGGAGAGAGAAGCGGTGCTGGGACATCGCCTGGGAAGTAGGGGCGGGGGTCTGGGGACACGTAATTTCACCTCAAAAGTAGCACAACTTTTAAATGGACGCCCCGCGAAGTCACAGGCGCTCCCCACGCAGGTCAGGGTTAAAAGACAGGAGTTCACTAACGGGGAGGAAAGTTTACTTGGCTGCAGCCCCTGTCTGCAGATTTCTCGTTTGTACTAGAGAGTTTGGTCAAAACGCAATGACAGTTCCGAGGCACGTGGCACACGAGCCCGCGTTGTCCCCTCCCGCTCCAGAAGCCCCTCACCTGCCGCGGGGCAGGGCGGCCCGGGGATGCCGCTGACCTGACGCGGGCGCTGCCCTCGGTCCCCGGGGGCCCCCGGCCCAGCGCCTGCAGTCAGGACACCGTGACTCGGACTCGCCACCCCCGTCCCCGCCGTCCCCCAGACACGCCGGACGGACTCACCGCTCCCGGGCGCCGCGCCCACGATGGCTCTCGAGGGGGCTGAGGGTGCGGGCCCCGCCGGGGCTGTCACCCGGGGCTGACCAATATTAAAAGGTCTGTGTTTCAAAGAACATCAAGAAAGTATAAAGAAAACCTACAGAATGTTGAGAGGATATTTACAATCATATACTGATAAGGACTCATATTCCAAACATATAAAAACCTTTTTTTTAAAACTCGCAGACATCCCGTGTCACCTACCCGAGCAGCAGTCACCTGACCCGGGACCCCGCATCGTGGGGTCGCGAAAGGGGAAGAGACCAAGGGGTGCAGGACTATCGGTTCTCGCAGAGATTAAGGTTCTCCTTTTTTTTTTTTTTTTTTTTGAGGACGAATTAGGAAACTTCTTTCTCTTTCCTGTCAGTAATTCAAACTTTGACAACACCCCTGAAGATCACAGATCACACAGATAAATTATGGACATTCATTTGCTTCTATTGGACATGCTACCGAGTTGCATTTTTTAAAATAGAAAAAGTTAAAAAATAAAATATCAGTAAACATTTAAAGAAGAATTAATATTAATTCTTCACAAGCTCTTCCAAAAAATAGAAGAGTAAGGACCATCTCCCTACTCATGCTATAAGGCCAGTATTACCCCGACACCAGAAGCAGATAAAAAAATCACAAGAAAACTACAGACCAGAATTTCTTATGAATATAGATAAAAATCCTCAAAGAAATGCTAGCAAATCATATCCAGTAACAGATAAAAAGGATTATACACCATTATGAAGTGAGGTTGATCCCAGGGAAGCAAGATTGGTTTACCAAAAATCAATTAATGTGGGGCCGGGCCACTGGATAGTGCGCCGCTTGGGAAGCGCGGCGGCGCTCCCGTCCGAGGGTTCGGATCCCACATACAGACCGGCTCCCGCTCACTGGCTGAGCGAGGCGCGGGAGCAAC